TAAAAATCGGTTATTTAATTTTATTGTGTTGGGGGTGCTGCCGTTTAAAAATAGATTAATTACGTAATCGAATCTATGATAGGGAGGAATCGAACTCTAGCCCCCCCCCCCCCACCCTCACCCGGTCCGCACCTACACCATTGCCACAGACTCTAAAACAACATGGTAGTAATTATGATGGAAATGTCTATTAATGACAGGGTATTGTAATGGCAGGGTATTGTAATGGCAGGGTATTGTACTGGCAGGGTCTTTTAATGACAGGGTTTTGTAATCACAGGGTCTTGTAATGACAGGGTCTTGTAATTACAGGGTTTTGTAATGACAGGGTCTTGTAATGGCATGGTCTTGTAATGACAGAGTCTTGTAATGACAGGGTTTTGTAATGACATTGTCTTGTAATAACAGGGTCTTGTAATCACAGGGTCTTGTAATGACAGGGTCTTTTAATCTCAGGGTCTTGTAATGATATGGTCTTGTAATGACAGGGTCTTGTAATGATAGGGTCTTGTAATGATAGGGTCTTGTAATGAAATTGTCTTGTAATGACAGGGTCTTGTAATGACAGGGTCTTGTAATGACAGGGTCTTGTAATGATAGGGTCTTGTAATGACAGGGTTTTGCAATGACAGGGTCTTGCAATGACAGGGTCTTGTAATGATAGGGTCTTGTAATGACAGGGTCTTGTAATGACAGGGTCTTGTAATTACATGGTCTTGTAATGATAGGGTCTTGTAATGACAGGGTCTTTTAATGACAGGGTCTTGTAATGATAGGGTCTTGTAATGATAGGGTCTTTTAATGACAGGGTCTTGTAATGACAGGGTCTTGTAATGACAGGGTCTTGTAATGAAAAATACTGAAAGGAGAGAAATAGTTCAGTGTAGGCTTCGTGAACTAATTTAAAAAAAAAAATGTTCGCTTTATCGCATAGCCCTGTTAAATTGGCTTATTGCAGAAATGCGAACCGCTCAATATATTGATGACGGCGTTGCTATGCACACAATTAATGTCTCTCCCCAAAGTTTGATCATCTCTTGAAAAGCAGACGACGACTCTGTGACAATAATCTGTTTTTTTCTTTGGCCCATGCCAAGGCGGTCAAGACTTGTCTTTTAAAAAAAAAAAAAAAAAAAATATTAATGTCTCTCCCCAAATTTTGATCATCCCTTGAAAAGCAGACGACGACTCTGTGACAATAATCTGTTTTTTTCTTTGGCCCATGCCAAGGCGGTCAAGACTTGTTTTTTAAAAAAAAAAAAAAAAAAACGAAGCTGCCGTCTTCGTGTGGCCATGACATGCACAAACAGATTGTTATCTTATGTTGGAGTTCAATCCCGGGCCAACGTTGGACATCAAACACTAGAGCAGATGAATGTATCAATGGGGAATCAGGGCCACGCCGGCAGTGCCGAGAAGACGTTTTCCGATGACGTCCTAGGTGGCGTTGAAGTCGTTTTGCTTCTTTACGAATAGCGATCCCTGATTTGATTTCTCCGCTAATTTCGTGACCTACTCTTGAGGTTAACAAAAAGAAGATGTAAACAAAGAGTAAATGGAGGATTTATTCTTTTAAACACATTGTTATATTATTTATTTTCCTGTATTATTTTGTATGTTGGGGAACAAATTGATCGTTTGGAAACGTTAGGTTCATTTAATATGCCTACTGTCGTGTCAGAGACAGTTTCAATGGCACGGGGAAGACCTACAATCTCTTATATATATTGCTTCCGGTGCGTCCTGCTTCCTCTTCAAAACCGCCCCAAGCTCCACATGTTTTATAGTAGTGCTGAGTGAAAAAAAGGGCTGTCACACAGCGAGCTTCATGTGTGACGTCCGAACTCCTGGAACTGAGCTGATTTGTTCTCACGTGGGAGGCGACCATTATTCGGTACCGTTATTGTTATTCAGTCACACAGCGAGCTTCATGCGGGACGTCCAAACTCCGGTAAATAGGTTGAAAGGATTTTTTTTTTTGACGTCACTGTTGGTTCACACCACACAGAACTGGGTCATGGGCCGTCCTTTCACCTTGGGCAGGTGTGCGCCTAGGAGTCTTTTCCATAACCTGGTACAGGAGGGTATTGCTATTTTCGTTACACTGCGTCTGGTTTTGTTTTTTTTTTTGTTGTAAAAAAAGTCTTTGTTATAAAATGAACGACAGTATCTTCTCTGCCAACGGGTCTTTGTACAACGTCATCTCCATTCAAAACTGCCTGTTACCATCAGTGGGTTAGTTCTGGACACAAAAGGTTGACGAAGGCAGTGCACTCTTAATACGACATAGGGCAGTAGATTTCGTTGTACATTATAGAAAATTTAAATATTTTTTATTTTTATAACAATTGGTAATTTCTCAAAATACCCCGAACTGGTGTAAGAAAAACTGCACACTGTTAAGCACTAGTAATAATAAATATGTGACCTCTGCTCTAAGTCTCTTTGCCTAATGTCCTTTTCAGATAACCCATTTTTTATGTTTAACCAACAAGTTACAGCTTGCACTAGAGGTCGCCTAGACACATTAATTTACTCTCTCCAAGGAACTCTTTAGTAAAAGGAGAAATATTTAATTTCCTTTTTTTTTTTTTTAAAGCGATAGTTTTATTTACGATATTTTTATTGAAGGTCAAAAAGACCACCCATAAATCTGTCATTTGCAACTATCAGTATTTGTCGTGCTGTGATGCTGATTGAATGCTCTTCTGTGTGAATGGGTCCCAGACTGAAGATGCTTACTCTAAAAGTGATCGGACAAAGACTTTATAGTATAGGCTTTTTCTTTCACGGCTGAGTTGCCGATCTTCAGATTTCACCTTATGAGCCCTAGGGTCTTGTTGGCCCGGTTGCACCCATTTTTAATGTGCTCGTCCCAGTTGACCTCTCTTTAAATTGTAACACACAGGTGCCTTACGGAGCAAACTGGCTCAAGAATACGACCATGCAATTCGTAAGGGTGATGTATTGGGGATCTGCTTCTGGAGACTGACAGGGCCTTCCACTTGACGGGATGAAAAGCCATGTCCCAGGTAATCTCCCACTCGGCTAACCGATGGAGGTCCTGTTGGAGCTGGTCCTGGTCAGAACTGTTGACGATCGTCCTATACACCACCGTGTCGTCTGCCAACAGTCTTGCTTGGGAGGGCAGTTTCTCGGGCAGATCATTGATATATGCTAGCAACACACAAGGGCCTAGCACCAAGCCCTGGGGGACCCCTGACCTAAAACAGACAAAGGATTGGATCCATACTATCATACAATCACATAATTTTATCTATGCTATCATACACTCACATGACTGGATTTGTCCAATCCAAAGTTTGGCCTCTGGTTGATGCAAGTTTTCAAAGAAGCAAATGAAATTACATCAGCTAGGAACTAAGACATTTAGAAACACGCTCTTAAGGTCGGTACAAGCTACATGTCATTACGTCTGATTGGTCTCAGTGACGTCACATCAGAGATGTATCCAGCCATGGATGATGGGGAGGGACGTGCAAAATTGGGGGGGGTGTCTTGTATGCACCCGAGGAGGGCGCCATTTTAACAGGGTGCCAGATCGTCATGTTTCCATATAAAATATATGTATTAGTACATACACTTTTGTAACAGGGTGCACAAATTCATGCTTTGCCCCGGTTGCAGGTTTTGCTGTCCACTGCCTTGGAGCGAGGGGGAGGTGACAATTTTGTAGAATTTCCAAACTTAAGTAGTTAAGAAATATTCTTGTGGAGACAGTGAGAGCTTTGGTCTTTCTCTGACTTCGATTTCAGTAGTGGGAGGTAGCAGGGGCGTCCACACAGGGAGAGAGAGCAGGGGCGTATCTACAGGAAGGGAGCAGGGCGTCTACACAGGGAGGTAGCAGGGGCCTCTACACAGGGAGAGAGAGCAGGGGCGTATCTACAGGGAGGGAGCAGGAGCGTCCACACAGGGAGGGAGAAGGGCGTCCACACAGGGAGGGAGGAGGGCGTCTACACAGGGAGGTAGCAAGGGCCTCTACACAGGGAGAGAGAGCAGGGGCGTCCACACAAGGAGAGAGCAGGGGCGTCCACACAAGGAGGGAGCAGGGGCGTACACACAGGGAGGGAGCAGGGGCGTCTACACAGGGAGGGAGCAGGGGCTTCAACACAGGGAGGGAGCAGGGGCGTCCACACAGGGAGGGAAGGAGATGTTGAATGATTTACTTTACAAATTTGGCGTAGTAAATATAAATACCTTTATCGAACTCAAAGTCTTTCAAAAAAAACCCAATGATTACTCGCAAGATTCTGAATGGAAACACCGGCAAACAAAAGCTTTACCACAAGAATATCTCAACTAATTCATGAACAATTCATTTCAAGCTATCTTACGCTATCTATGTCAATAGTGCATCTATTTCCGGGTTAGTCCTCAGTTACTCTAACCTTGACCTCTGCGTCTGTAAGGGATCAGTCCTTGATTCCTTATGATGCCCAAACACAGATAAATATTGAGATGCGTATTAACAAGGCCTACAACAAAGGACTAACATGGAATGGAATCGATTATCAAGATAACCCCCAACATCTGAAATAGCCGACACATGCGATACTCAAATATCGACATCAGATCATTTTTTTTCCCCCCGTCTGAAATGATTTTTTTTTTTTTTTATCGTGGTGTAATTGATGTCTTGAGAGTATCGATCTGAAGCAGTTGTCTGAAACTCTCGAATACATAACCCATTCGGGGAATCGAATCGTGAGAAAGCGAGACCTATCCCGATCCACGTTCACTTTTATTAGTATTCTGTGATCAAAAAGAACCTTGCACAGATTTCATCTTTTTAGTCAACCGTCCAAACCCGGCAACGGTCCGGAGCTCTTCAGTGCCTGACATTCCAAACGGATGTGGAAAGATGTAATACACATGTTTGTAAATACTGAGTAATGAAGGATTTATGGGGTTTTTCCAATTCATTGAACTGTCAAGTCTGTGAATATTTATAACTTACTGTTTTTAATTAGGATTGATGACAGATGTCACTAGTGCTGTAAGCTGCAGGGTCGGTCGAATTTTGCTGTCATGACAACGTCATACGGACGTTATAAGACGCATTTTTTTAGAGAATATTTTATGTCGAAGTGTAATCAACTGACCAAATGACGGACGGGTCGACTGGTCAGAACATTTCCTAGTGACCTATTAACTTGTCGTGATGAACTGGGCGGAGATGTCCAGCAAAGAGGTGACAACCATGATGGTCACACTCAGTGACAATCAGGTGACCAACAGCTCAGGGATATCAATGACTCCACTGGACATCGCCTATGTCACCGTGACCGCCGCCATGTCCCTGATGTCCATCTTTGGCAGCCTCGTTGTGCTGTTTGTTCACTGGTCCTACGCGGACCTTAGGACGTCGGGGAGGACAATGTTGGTCCACCTGACGGTGGCTGACCTACTTACCGCGCTAGGAAATCTCATGGGCGTCACCTGGTAAGTTGTCTTAAGTTACATGTAAAATCTTTTGTTGAAATAACGGGTAGACTCAGGAACGAACCCATGGCGGGGATAACCCAACCGGGGGGGGGGGGATAACCCACCCCTTCTATAGCATTGTCAGATACTGCAATGGTACTTTTGATTTTAAACTTTGATGTGTACTTGTAAAAGGAGGGATCTAAGAAATTAATCATACTATTTAAACAGTAACATTTCTAACGTTGAAGCACAAGTGTTACCTGCAGATTCGCTGTCCTTATCAGCACATGTCTGAGGTCTCTCTGTACTTTCTGAGCTAATGTCATTGATAAAATCACTCTACACAAAAATGGTTTCTGACCCTCTGATCTAAGCCATGGGAAGGTCTTCCTAAACGGGTTTCATTTTCCTGACTTACCGCCTGTAAAAAGGTGGCAGAGGCCTGGACAGCGCGTCCCCGGTTGTGTCGTCTAGAAATGACAAGACACAAGCACGGAATCAGGCATGCAAGCACGCATTCAGGCACACAAGCACGCAATCAGGCACACAAGCACGCAATCAGGCACACAAGCACGCATTCAGGCACATAAGCACGCAATCAGGCACACAAGCACGCATTCAGGCACTTAAGCACGCAATCAGGCACACAAGCACGCAATCAGGCACACAAGCACGCACACATATTTCGTTATTTTGGTGCCCCCCCCCCTGAGGTTGGCGCCCGGGGACACGGCCCTACGAATAGGGCAAACATACCATTAAAGTTGTACGCGAGAGTTCACAGGATTATTTTGTTCTTAAATTCAAACAGCACTCACCTAAAAACCACACATTAAAAAAAACAAAAACAAAAAACAACAAAAAAACCAACAAAAAACACACTTTCTTAAAAAATTGATTTAGGGTTTTGAAAAGTAGCTACATTTGAAGAGAAGCTATATTTGAAGAGAAGCTATATTTGAAGAGAGGCTATATTTGAAGAGAGGCTATATTTAAAGAGAATCTATATTTGAAGAGGGCCTATATTTGAAGAGATGCTATTTTTGAAGAGAGGCTATATTTTGAGAGAGGCTATATTTAAAGAGAGAGTATATTAGAAGAGGCTATTTTTGAAGAGAGGCTATATTTGAAGAGATGCTATTTTTGAAGAGAGGCCATATTTGAAGAGATGCTATTTTTGAAGAGAGGCTATATTTAAGACTTGCGCAGAAAAGACGTTCACTCTGTTATCCAACTCTAACTTTTTAAAACATCTTCCAACACACACACACAACTGCATTCTCATTCTGTTTCTTAAGTGAACCCATAGCACTGTTGTAATGACACAGTGTTGTTGTTTGGAAGTAGTTGAATTGAAAAGAACATGTGAATGAATGCCCTTCTGGTCACTGATGGTCATTGATGGTCTCTTATGGTATCTGCAGGTATCTGAGCATAGAAACACTGGAGTACAAAATGGCTTATTGTAAGTTTCACAGTGCGCTGACCATTATGTCCAGCATCGCGTCATTTTTCTGGACGGTGGTCATCGCCTGGTTTGTGTTTTGGATTCTAATCCGCATGCAACCAACAGTGAACCAAAGAGGTCAAAGTTTGAGTGACATCATCCTTGCTGTCGTCTGCTGGGGAGTTCCAAGTAGGCCATTGAATTTTTTATACTTATATTTTAGTTGCACCCGCACACCCTGTCTCTCCAAGACACCCTGTCTCACCAGCACACTCTGTCTCACCAAGATACCCTGTCTCACCCACACACCCTGTCTCACCAAGACACGCTGTCTCACCAAGACACCCTGTCTCACACACACCCTGTCTCACCCACACACCCTGTCTCACCCGCACACCCTGTCTCACCAAGACACCCTGTCTCACCCACACACCCTGTCTCACCCGCACACCCTGTCTCACCAAGACACCCTGTCTTACCCTCACAAGGACAACAAATATATTTCCACAGAAAAGTCATCCGACACCTCGGGGAGGGGGGAGGGGGGACGTTTAGAACTTAGAACAAGAAATATAAAGTCAAATAATCCAATCAGTCATGCGGAATATCCCACTTAGTCCTTACATCCACCTAACAATGGATATAACTCAGTAGTACACCCACCTAACAATGGATATAACTCAGTAGTACACCCACCTAACAATGGATATAACTCATTAGCACAACCACCTAACAATGGATATAACTCATTAGCACAACCACCTAACAATGGATATAACTCGGTAGCACAACCACCTAACAATGGATATAACTCATTAGCACAACCACCTAACAATGGATATAACTCGGTAGTACATCCACCTAACAATGGATATAACTCAGTAGTACATCCACCTAACAATGGATATAACTCATTAGCACAACCACCTAACAATGGATATAACTCAGTAGTACATCCACCTAACAATGGATATAACTCAGTAGTACACCCACCTAACAATGAATATAACTCAGTAGTACACCCACCTAACAATGGATATAACTCATTAGCACAACCACCTAACAATGGATATAACTCATTAGCACAACCACCTAACAATGGATATAACTCGGTAGCACAACCACCTAACAATGGATATAACTCATTAGCACAACCACCTAACAATGGATATAACTCGGTAGTACATCCACCTAACAATGGATATAACTCAGTAGTACATCCACCTAACAATGGATATAACTCAGTAGTACATCGACCTAACAATGGATATAACTCAGTAGTACACCCACCTAACAATGGATATAACTCAGTAGTACATCCACCTAACAATGGATATAACTCAGTAGTACACCCACCTAACAATGGATATAACTCAGTAGTACACCCACCTAACAATGGATATAACTCATTAGCACAACCACCTAACAATGGATATAACTCAGTAGTACATCCACCTAACAATGGATATAACTCAGTAGTACACCCACCTAACAATGGATATAACTCAGTAGTACACCCACCTAACAATGGATATAACTCAGTAGTACATCCACCTAACAATGGATATAACTCATTACATAGACATTATTCAATCGAAACTAAATTCTCAGAAAGATTACTTTTAACGTTAAATCAGGCCATTGCAAGTCGGGGGAAAAGGGGGGGGGGTGGTCAGCAAACGTTTTTGGACAAGGGTCAGTACGCATTTTTATTTCATGAAAAAAACACATTTAAAACTGCTTTCCTTGTCCGAGTGCGGCATGAAGTGAACTAGTAAAAAGGTCGGAGTCGAAGTCACGTAATTAAAACTCCAGATAAAATATTATTAGATGGAAAACGTTTGAATTGCAAAGATCGTTTTTTCCCCACACCAGTGAGAGGCTTTTAACAGTCTTTTTTCCCCTCCTGATAGAACATATAGTTGTGAAAGCTAGTCAACCCTGTCATTCATCACGCGACGACTGCTCTGTCACCCTATCATTTATCACGTGACGACTGCTCTGTCACCCTATCATTCATCACGTGACGACGGCTCTGTGATCATATCATTCATCACGTGACAGCTGCTCTGTCACCCTATCATTCATCACGTGACCACTGCTCTGTAACCCTATCATTCATCACGTGACGAATGCTCTGTCACCCTATCATTCATCCCGTGACGGCTGCTCTGTCACCCTATCATTCATCACGTGACGACTGCTCTGTGACCCTATCATTCATCACGTGACGACTGCTCTGTGACCCTATCATTCATCACGTGATGACTGCTCTGTAACCAGACTTCAGATCATTCCTTTTTTATAAGGTGCCAAACATTTCTTTCCACCAAGTAGATATTGTCGAACTCGGAATGTGTTGACCAGACGTGGATATTGAAATGACCGCTACTGATGACGCCTGAGCCACTAGTAGATGTCTACCAGTTTCCATGTCTTGTTTTATCATTCAACAAATCATTGGATTGTAGATCGTTCACTTTCACCCGAACGTCAGCTGTCAACAGCGCAATCAAATGTGTTGAGGAGAGTCTTATCTTTGTTGCACTGGAGTACAGTACGAAAATACGGTCCCGAAATACTGCTGTTTTGTGTCCAGACTTCTCTCCTTGCACAAACTTGCGCGACTAGCATTGGGCCTGGTGGTTTTCTGAATGATCTCTCACACACACAACATGACAAATGAGTGAAGCGATCTCTTGAGTGCCTTCCTATTGGTGTACATGTCGGAGACCAGCTTGGTTTCAAACAGTGTGCTTTCCTGCTGGTGTACATGTCGGAGACCAGCTTGGTTTCAAACAGAGTGCCTTTCCGTTGGTGTACATGTCGGAGACCAGCTTGGTTTCAAGCCGAGTACCTTCCCGTTGCTGTACATGTCGGAGACCAGCTTGGTTTTAAGCCAATTCCTTCCCGTTGGTGTACATGTCAGGTGTACATGTCGGAGACCAGCTTGGCTTCAAGCCGAGTACCTTCCCGTTGGTGTACATGTCAGGTGTACATATCGGAGACCAGCTTGGTTTCACGTGCCCTCTAAGATTCTATTAGGTTACTTGTTTAGGTATAACTGCAGAAGATGGGAACTTCCAAAGCCATTCGTTATATTTGTTAGTAGCAACTGAAGGCTGATGATTTCATGAAAGAAAAACTCAACCTCAGCTCTATGTTGCTGATTTTTTAATAGTGATAAAACTTTCCTTAAACTAAGTCACATGACAGAAGTCTGCTAGGATAAGGCGGGATATTCAGGTTTTATTTCTGGCAGAAATTCACGGAAACTGACGCTGTCTTAAAACTCCCGACTGAAACCACATAAGACCTTGACACGAATACAAATCTTTTTAACACAATGTCTGTTTATGAATGTGGCAACGAAGAACCGAAGGCTTGCAATTACAAACAGTTTGGCAAGCCTTGTTTATCACCACACACTTTGGCAAGCCTTATCTATGCACAAACACTTTGGCAAGCCTTGTCTATCACCACACACTTTGGCAAGCCTTGTTTACCACTATCTCTTATGACATGCTTCAGTTTTTTACAAAACGAATTGCATTGAGCAATGGGTCTACCTCTTTAGAAATGTTCTTTTCTGTTTTCTGTTACTTCAAAATTAATATTGACACCGCTGGCCTGATCAGGCCCACGGGACGAAATTTGTCAACCCCCTCTTGTCACTAATAACTAAAACCTTCAAAAAAAGCTTACAAATATTAATTGTTTGTGTGACTTTTGTTCCCAGAAAAGTCTGCGTGTGTGTGGAAAAGGGTGTGATGGTGTGTGTGTGTGTGTGGGAGGGGGGTCTTCTGTACACACTTAATCCTTATATTCTTCGTCTGACACCGTCAGTTCTTTTAGAATCTAACCTAATGCCCACCTTACTCTATGTGACAGGGCTAGCCTAATTCCCCATTACCCTATGTGACAGGGCTAACCTAAAACCTCTTTACCCTAATGTGACAGGGCTAATGTAATACCCCTTTACCCTATTGACAAGGCTAACCTAATACCCCTTTACCCTATGTGACAGGGCTAATCTAATACCCGTTTACCATATGTGACAGGGCTAACCTAATACCACTGTACCCTATGTGACAAGGCAAACTTAATACACCCTTTCCCTATGTGACAGTGCTAACTTAATACCCCCCTTTCCTTATGTGACAGGGCTAACCCAATACCCCTTAATCTATGTGACAGGGCTAAGCCAATACCCTTTACCCTCTGTGACAGGGCTAACCCAATACTACTTTATCCTATGTGACAGGGCTAACCTAATACCCCTTTACCCTATTTGACAGGGTTAACCTAATACCCCCTTAACCTATGTGACAGGGCTAACCTAATAACCCTTTACCCTATTTGACAGGGCTAACCTAATACCCCCTTAACCTATCTGACAGGGCTAATCTAATACCCCTTTACCCTAAGTGACGGGGCTAACACAATATCCCTTTACCCTAAGTGACAGGGCTAACCTAATACCCCTTTACCCTAAGTGACAGGGCTAACCTAATACCTCCTTACCCTATGTGACAGGGCTAACATAATGCCCCCTAACCCTAAATTCTTAACTTGATTCTTCTTCTTTAAAAGTTATCATAGCTGTAACAGCCCTGGCCTTGGATGTCCTTGGATATGATCACAACTTATCCCAGGCCAGCTGGTGTTGGATAGATCCGGAAGCATCCAATGGGATGATGTGGGCGTTGGTCACTGGGAAGGCCTGGGAACTGGCCGCCTGCATCTTAACTGTGAGCTTGTATGCCGCTGTGAAGGTCATGCTATTTAAGCAGGTAGCTATGATATCTCTTTCTAACACAAGTTATGATACCTCTTTCTAACACCAGCTATGACATCTCTTTCTAACACCAACTATGACATCTCTTTCTAACACCAGCTATGATATCTCTCTCTAACACCAGTTATGATATCTCTTTCTAACACCAGTTATGATATCTCTTTCTAACACCAGCTATGATATCTCTTTCTAACACCAACAATGATATCTCTTTCTAACACCAGTTATGATATCTCTTTCTAACACCCGTTATGATATCTCTTTCTAACACCAGCTATGATATCTCTTTCTAACACCAGTTATGATATCTCTTTCTAACACCAGTTATGATATCTCTTTCTAACACCAGCTATGATATCTCTTTCTAACACCAGCTATGATATCTCTTTCTAACACCAGTTATGATATCTCTTTCTAACACCAGCTATGATATCTCTTTCTAACACCAGTTATGATATCTCTTTCTAACACCAGTTATGATATCTCTTTCTAACACCAGTTATGATATCTCTTTCTAACACCAGCTATGATATCTCTTTCTAACACCAGTTATGATATCTCTTTTTAACACCAGCTATGATATCTCTTTCTAACACCAGCTATGATATCTCTTTCTAACACCAACTATGATATCTCTTTCTAACACCAGCTATGATATCTCTTTCTAACACCAGTTATGATATCTCTTTCTAACACCAGGTATGATATCTCTTTCTAACACCAGTTATGATATCTCTTTCTAACACCAGTTATGATATCTCTTTCTAACACCAGCTATGATATCTCTCTCTAACACCAGTTATGATATATCTTTCTAACACCAGTTATGATATCTCTCTCTAACACCAGTTATGATATCTCTTTCTAACACCAGTTATGATATCTCTCTCTAACACCAGCTATGATATCTCTTTCTAACACCAGCTATGATATCTCTCTCTAACACCAGTTATGATATCTCTTTCTAACACCAGTTATGATATCTCTTTCTAACACCAGCTATGATATCTCTTTCTAACACCAACTATGATATCTCTTTCTAACACCAGTTATGATATCTCTTTCTAACACCAGTTATGATATCTCTTTCTAACACCCGTTATGATATCTCTTTCTAACACCAGTTATGATATCTCTTTCTAACACCAGTTATGATATCTCTTTCTAGCACCAGTTATGATATCTCTTTCTAACACCAGCTATGATAGCTCTTTCTAACACCAGCTATGATATCTCTTTCTAACACCAGTTATGATATCTCTTTCTAACACCAGTTATGATATCTCTTTCTAACACCAACTATGATATCTCTTTCTAACACCAGCTATGATATCTCTTTCTAACACCAGCTATGATATCTCTTTCTAACACCAGCTATGATATCTCTTTCTAACACCAGCTATGATATCTCTTTCTAACACCAGCTATGATATCTCTCTCTAACACCAGCTATGATATCTCTTTCTAACACCAGCTATGATATCTCTCTCTAACACCAGCTATGATATCTCTTTCTAACACCAGCTATGATATCTCTTTCTAACACCAGTTATGTTATCTCTCTCTAATATCAGTTATGATTTCTCTCTCTCTCTCTGGCACTATAGCTATGATATCATTCTAACACCAGCTATGATATCTATCTAACACCAGCAATAATATCTCTCTAATCCCAGCTATGATATCTTATTAACACCAGCTATGATTTCTTAATAACACCAGCTATGATATCTGTCTAATACCAGCTATAATATCTCTCTAACAACAGCTATGATATGTCTCTAACACCAGCTATGATATCTCTCTAAAACCAGGCGACCTAAACTAATACATTCCCTTCTATCCGTAGGCCAAGAGACGGTCTACACTAATATGTTCCCTTCTATCCGTAGGCCAAGAGATCGTCTACACTAATATGTTCCTTTCTATCCGTAGGCCAAGAGACGGTCTACACTGATATATTCCCTTCTATCCGTTGGCCAAGAGACGGTCTACACTGATATATTCCCTTCTATCCGTAGACCAAGAGTTGGTCTACACTGATACGTTCCCTTCTATCCGTAGGCCAAGAGACGGTCTACACTGATACGTTCCCTTCTATCCGTAGGCCAAGAGACGGTCTACACTGATATATTCCCTTCTATCCGTAGGCCAAGAGACGGTCTACACTGATACGTTCCCTTCTATCCGTAGGCCAAGAGACGTTCTGCACTGATATGTTCCCTTCTATCCGTAGGCCAAGAGACGGTCTACACTGATGGGACGAACCAACCGACGAATGGAGGAAGCTAACACGAAGCTCACGTTCGTTCCTTTAGTTTTTATCGTGATCAGAATTTGGGGGACAATCCGCTTTCTCCTGGGGAACTTCGCCCATGACTACGCCAGCTCGTCAGATTCTGACTGGATTGTCATATTACAGGTCAATATTTATTGTCTATCCACATAAATCCAGGGGTTAAATAGTTGCAACGTGATATTGATAACACTGGAGGAATATAACCTAATAAAATCAACGTTACCACGGAGCCTGATTATTTTAACAGTAAGAATGGCGGCGGCGATGCATGCACTTCTCACCCAAACACTGGTGGCGGCGAGGCGCGAACTTCCGATCTACTAAAGTTACTTGACAAAAATTCATTCACGTAACCCACTTTGTAAAAATCCCAATTAGTGCTACACCCCATTCCCCACTTTCCAAATACGCCCCCCCCCACACACACACACTTTTTCACGCCCATCAACCATATTAATGTTCTAACGTCCCAGCCCCTTTACAACTCATCTCTTATATATATTACACTTATGGTGTGACTCGTGGACTGCTTCCTAAAGGACTGCTTCCTAATCAACGAATTTGGTATTGAGAGTCTATTACAAACAATACTAAAGGTTTGAAATAAAGTATCGTTCAATAATGAGTTCAGTAGCGTGCAAAATAGAATTCCCGATAACTACGCCAAATGATTTTTTTTTTTTTAATTTTTTTTTTTAAATAACGCAACAGCGTTTGGCGCGTAATAGTTTCTTTTCTGAAAATGAAATCGTCCCAATTTAAGTATGGTGTAAAGAAAAATCTGTTTAAAAGTGTTTGGGACAGCAAAATATTTAAATATAGTTCAGTGAAATGAAAAGTGTGGTGTGACGTATCATTTTTGTTGTTGTTTGTTTGTCATTTAACCAACATGTTTGTTTGTCATTTAACCAACATGTTTGTTTGTCATTTAACCAACGTGTTTGTTTGTCATTTAACCAACGTGTTTGTTTGTCATTTAACCAACATGTTTGTTTGTCATTTAACCAACGTGTTTGTTTGTCATTTAACCAACATGTTTGTTTGTCATTTAACCAACGTGTTTGTTTGTCATTTAACCAACATGTTTGTTTGTCATTTAACCAACATGTTTGTTTGTCATTTAACCAACATGTTTGTTTGTCATTTAACCAACATGTTTGTTTGTCATTTAACCAACATGTTTGTTTGTCATTTAACCAACATGTTTGTTTGTCATTTAACCAACATGTTTGTTTGACATTTAACCAACATGTTTGTTCGTCATTTAACCAACATGTTTGTTTGTCATTTAACCAACATGTTTGTTTGTCATTTAACCAACATGTTTGTTTGACATTTAACCAACATGTTTGTTCGTCATTTAACCAACATGTTTGTTTGTCATTTAACCAACATGTTTGTTTGTCATTTAACCAACGTGTTTGTTTGTCATTTAACCAACGTGTTTGTTTGTCATTTAACCAACGTGTTTGTTTGTCATTTAACCAACGTGTTTGTTTGTCATTTAACCAACATGTTTGTTTGTCATTTAACCAACGTGTTTGTTTGTCATTTAACCAACGTGTTTGTTTGTCATTTAACAAACATGTTTGTTTGTCATTTAACCAACGTGTTTGTTTGTCATTTAACCAACATGTTTGTTTGTCATTTAACCAACATGTTTGTTCGTCATTTAACCAACATGTTTGTTCGTCATTTAACCAACGTGTTTGTTTGTCATTTAACCAACGTGTTTGTTTGTCATTTAACCAACGTGTTTGTTTGTCATTTAACCAACGTGTTTGTTTGTCATTTAACCAACATGTTTGTTTGTCATTTAACCAACGTGTTTGTTCGTCATTTAACCAACATGTTTGTTCGTCATTTAACCAACATGTTTGTTCGTCATTTAACCAACATGTTTGTTCGTCATTTAACCAACATGTTTGTTTGTCATTTAACCAACATGTTTGTTCGTCATTTAACCAACGTGTTTGTTCGTCATTTAACCAACATGTTTGTTCGTCATTTAACCAACATGTTTGTTCGTCATTTAACCAACATGTTTGTTCGTCATTTAACCAACATGTTTGTTTGTCATTTAACCAACGTATTTGTTTGTCATTTAACCAACATGTTTGTTTGTTATTTAACCAACATGTTTGTTCTTCATTTAACCAACATGTTTGTTCGTCATTTAACCAACATGTTTGTTCGTCATTTAACCAACATGTTTGTTCGTCATTTAACCAACGTGTTTGTTTGTCATTTAACCAACATGTTTGTTTGTCATTTAACCAACATGTTTGTTCGTCATTTAACCAACATGTTTGTTCGTCATTTAACCAACATGTTTGTTTGTCATTTAACCAACATGTTTGTTTGTCATTTAACCAACATGTTTGTTTGACATTTAACCAACATGTTTGTTCGTCATTTAACCAACATGTTTGTTTGTCATTTAACCAACGTGTTTGTTTGTCATTTAACCAACGTATTTGTTTGTCATTTAACCAACATGTTTGTTTGTCATTTAACCAACATGTTTGTTCGTCATTTAACCAACATGTTTGTTCGTCATTTAACCAACATGTTTGTTCGTCATTTAACCAACATGTTTGTTCGTCATTAACCAACATGTTTGTTTGTCATTTAACCAACATGTTTGTTTGTCATTTAACCAACATGTTTGTTCGTCATTTAACCAACAAGTTTGTTTGACATTTAACCAACAGGTTTGTTCGTCATTTAACCAACATGTTTGTTTGTCATTTAACCAACATGTTTGTTTGTCTATTAACCAACGTGTTTGTTTGTCATTTAACCAACGTATTTGTTTGTCATTTAACCAACATGTTTGTTTGTCATTTAACCAACATGTTTGTTCGTTATTTAACCAACATGTTTGTTCGTCATTTAACCAACATGTTTGTTCGTCATTTAACCAACGTGTTTGTTTGTCATTTAACCAACGTGTTTGTTTGTCATTTAACCAACGTGTTTGTTTGTCATTTAACCAACGTGTTTGTTTGTCATTTAACCAACATGTTCGTTTGTCATTTAAACAACGTGTTTGTTTGTCATTTAACCAACGTGTTTGTTTGTCATTTAACCAACGTGTTTGTTTGTCATTTAACCAACGTGTTTGTTTGTCATTTAACCAACATGTTTGTTCGTCATTTAACCAACATGTTTGTTCGTCATTTAACCAACATGTTTGTTCGTCATTTAACCAACATGTTTGTTCGTCATTTAACCAACATGTTTGTTCGTCATTTAACCAACATGTTTGTTCGTCATTTAACCAACATGTTTGTTCGTCATTTAACCAACATGTTTGTTCGTCATTTAACCAACATGTTTGTTCGCCATTTAACCAACATGCTGAAAACATTGTTCTTCCCCGGGATACTATGGACCATTAAACTATGCGTTGAACATATTTCATTTCTGCAGGGCACAGGTGACAGCGCCCAGGGCTTTGCAAACTTTGTAATGTACATTTTCTTTACCAGCAAGATAAGAGAAAGATTGTTTCAAAACTGCCCTTGTCATTGCTCTGAAAGCGGTTCGATTGCCTCCCCTAAATCGTCCCGAAATCATGGGGACACAAGTCAACATGAGCCGTCAGTGGGCACATTAAAGCCCTCGAATAAAATACAACCAGATCTTACAGGTAATACAACTAGATCTTACAGGTAATACAACCAGATCTTACAGGTAAATACAACCAAATCTTACAAAGTAAATACAACCAGATCTTACAAGTATACACAACCAGATCTTACAAGTATACACAACCAGATATTTGAAGTAAATACAACCACAATTTTCATAAATTGACGTCAGAAAATGAATTAAAGGTGGGTTGAATAAATATTCTTAACAATTGAATTGATTTATTGCGATAGTTAACTTTCAGTTGATCAAGCACAAGTTGTAAATATAGATAGTAAGTACATATACTATAACATAAATAGCCTGTTTGAACTACACATTACAGGACACGTTTCGGAACCAGACTCGAGACATGTCAGCACGATAGAGAGCCATAAAACAGCACAAGTCTACGGCCAAGATGAGTCAGGGGCGTCGGCAACAGCAACATGCTGGACCAAACCCCCGGAAACTGTTACACAACACATGGATACAGATGCGTCAGGAGTAGCTGACATAAAAACAATTCATATTTAGAAAATCGGAGTAACACAGAGATAAAGAAGAAAGAAATGAAAGGACATTTCAAATGAGAATCCAATAAAATGAATTAATGGTGGATTGATTTGATTTGGGAGATGAACTTTAATATGGTGCACCGACTAATCGACCCAGGACAAAACATCCCCGACTAAAGGGCCTCCCAAAATTGAGCCCCCGGATAATAAATCCCCCCCCCACCCCGACAAAAGGGCCCCCCGTCAAAATACCATCTCCACCTGTCACTAACTGTCACACTTTCTTGGAATCATCTCACCCAGGAGTGTGACGTTCTCAGTGGCCAGACCATGCATGTAGTACGTACGCACTGAGGGGGGCGGGGGTGGGGGCTAGGAGGGATATGTCGATTTTGGAGATTTGCGTATGCTTGCTGTATGGCCCAGGGGGAGGGGGCAGTATGAGCAGAAAGTACGTACATTTATATAAAAATTCTAAAATATTAATCCTAAAACTCCGACAGTCCAAAAATAACAAATTTATATCTCATTTTCTGTAAAAATAAATATCCCTCATTGTATTGAAGGAATTATCGTCATAATGTTAACGTGTTTTTTCTCAAATGAACTCGCTGAGACATCGCTCAAATAGTACTCAGCAGCAGCAGCAGTACTACACTAATATTTAGTCTACCGTATGCTCCACGTGCATGTGGCGAACATTTTGTTGGGTTCCTCGGTGGTTCCTAACATTTTTCATTCCCGGCACCTTTGCTAAATTTAGGTTTTTACCAGGCTCTCAGGTGTTAGATATTAACAAGCACACCTCGAAATAGCGAATACATAAACAAAATAAAATAAAGGGTTGATTAAAAATAACTGTAACTCGTATGCAGGTCACTAAGTGCTATGAAGTAAATACAAACAGTAATGACTCAGGTGGGTTACTGTTGGCACCACATCCGCAAGATGTTGTATTCTATTAAACATGGGAATGAAATTATGAAAATGTAATATTTTGCCGCCAACCCATATAGAAAAATGTGCACCACCCCCACCCCCCGGGCTGACCAGTAAAAAGACGAATATTTAGCGCCCTTTGTCACTGTGAAGTATATAGGATTTTATAGTTTTATTCACTATCTAGGTCCTATCTAAAGCCGATTTTGCTGCCTGTTGCTCTTTAACCCATTCTCATGGCCCCACCCGAGGGAAACGGACACCCAAGGAGATGCGGTGATTTTTCTGGGAACCACTGAGCTCGCCGAACAGCCAGTGGCGAAATTGTGTTTTCTGTGACGTCATAATTATATAAATATTTTTGGATTATGTTGGTTGGTTTTTATTTGGGGACGGGTGGGGGTCAAGAGATCTTTGTCCATACGCAAGTGTGTGTGTGTGGGGGGGGGGGGGGGGTCTAAAAAAAAANTTAGATGGTACCACGTACTATATAGATGGCACCACGTAGTATTTAGATGGTACCACGTAGTATTTAGATGGTACCACGTACTATATAGATGGCACCACGTAGTATTTAGATGGTACCACGTAGTATTTAGATGGTACCACGTACTATATAGATGGCACCACGTAGTATTTAGATGGTACCACGTAGTATTTAGATGGTACCACGTACTATATAGATGGCACCACGTAGTATTTAGATGGTACCACGTAGTATTTAGATGGTACCACGTACTATATAGATGGCACCACGTAGTATTTAGATGGTACCACGTAGTATTTAGATGGTACCACGTACTATATAGATGGCACCACGTAGTATTTAGATGGTACCACGTAGTATTTAGATGGTACCACGTACTATATAGATGGCACCACGTAGTATTTAGATGGTACCACGTAGTATTTAGATGGTACCACGTACTATATAGATGGCACCACGTAGTATTTAGATGGTACCACGTAGTATTTAGATGGTACCACGTACTATATAGATGGCACCACGTAGTATTTAGATGGTACCACGTAGTATTTAGATGGTACCACGTACTATATAGATGGAACCACGTACTATATAGATGGAACCACGTACTATATTGATGGCACCACGTACTATATAGATGGCACCATGTACTATATTGATGGCACCACGTACTATATAGATGGCACCAAGTAGTATATAGATGGCACCACATAGTATATAGATGGCACCCCGTATAGATGGCACCACGTACTATAGAGATGGTACCACGTAGTATAGAGATGGCACCACGTATAGATGGCACCACGTACTATAGAGATGGCACCACGTACTATATAGATGGCACCACGTAGTATATAGATGGCACCACGTATTAATAGAGATGGCACCACGTAGTATATAGATGGCACCACGTATACATGGCACCACGTACTCATAGAGATGGCACCACGTAGTATATAGATGGCACCACGTATAGATGGCACCACGTACTATAGAGATTGCACCACGTACTATATAGATGTCACCACGTAGTATATAGATGGCACCACGTAATAATAGAGATGGCACCACGTATACATGGCACCACGTACCAATAGAGATGGCACCACGTAGTATATAGATGG